AGTGGCATTTCTTGGGGTACAGATAAGACCCTGGATTCCTGTCAGAGAGAGCATGATTAATTACCCTCAGCCCTAGCCCCTGCTTTGATAGCAGTGACTGACAGTCTGCAGGCTTTCCTATCAGGTGCTCCCACACACACACACACCAGGCATGTGTAGGACCATCACATGTAGGACCAACACCAATGACCCACAGAGAACTCTCTTCAATGGGTGTTTGCCTTCTTCCCAGTGCTCTGCAGGTTGCTTTTGCATTTATTGTGGACAGAAGCCTGCCTTAGGAAGCATGAAGTCCTGAGTTCAAGCCCCACTGCCACCAAAAACAAAAAAAGCCTATTGTGGACAGAGGTTTGCCCCTCTCAGAGGAAGGTATTAAGAAGGCCTAGAGAGCAGCCAGAGACTCTTGCTACAATCCTCCTCCAAAAGGCTAGGAAAGTAGCCATTGTTTAGACTTGAATACCACAGACCTGGGGGAGGAGGGGTGTCCTTCACAGGAGAAGATCCCAAGACATCCATTTCAAAGGCATTTGGCAACATTACTCCCTAATTCAGGCAAGTTCCTAAGACCAAGTCACCACACTTGGGTAATAATCACAACTGTCAGTTTTTACTTTAATTTTTTTTTTAACTCACATACTTTCATAGGACTTCAGAATTCAAAGTCATCTAGTCCAAATTCCTCATTTCACAAATGGCGAAACTGAGGCCTGGATCTTTTATCTCCCCTGTCCATTCCCCCCAGTAGTAGTAGTGGCAAAAGGCCTCTGCTTTGGATGAGGGAAGTGGTTACCAGGTCTCCTCAGTGGAAAACACATTGCTGAGTCAGACCAACTTGGGACTCCAGTTGTCTTTTAGCTATCGGAAGAATCAAAGACAGGGAAAGTTTTTGGGTCTGGATTATCTGGATAATGGCAGAAAACCACAACCTTCATCTACAACTATTCACAGGATTGCCTCAGCTTTGTTTCTGACAATGCCAAAGGGCCAGCCACAGAGCGGACAGTGCCAGTCCCCTTGTCACCGTAATCTCTGGAACCAGTATGCCTGACCAGCCTGAGTTCATGTGAAGAGAGGGCACTGTGGGGTGCAGGAAAACCAGATCCAAGGCACCCAGGTTTCCGTACCCTTTGGCTGCAGCCTTTCTGGTATAAGGCGGTGTTGCCAGGTGCATCTGCTCTCCCTCGGGAGGAGCTGGGGAAAGGCCCCCTTCTGTGACTTCAGTACCACTTTCCCTTCCCTAGGCCTTTTGCAGTCTCTATAGTTGGCTATAGAAAAGGCAACTTCTAGTGATATTTCTCTGTTCATAAGTGTTCCCCTCCAGAGATGCCACATCTCAGTTAGACATTTAGCTGAGTGACTACTCAGGGTGAATGTGGAATTCCTGTCCAGGGATCTGCCTTCAGAGGCAGTGTGAGCAACATTAGAGAGTCTGCCATGGCTATGTCCACACTCATCTTCAGTCAAAATCAGTATAAACAGCCCGGTCTCTTTATCCTGTTCCACCTGGCTTGCCTCCTAATGGATGTTAATTAACCATTTCTATAAGTATAATACATTATCTTCATTTGAAGATTATACCATTGAAGCAATCCAGAAGAAAATAGTCCAAAGGCTGAAAGGTGTTCGTACATGGAGTTCCAAAATGTGGTATCTGGCTCTCCAAGGTGACCTGAAAGACAGTACTTCATCAGCTGGGCAAGGCCTGCTGTGCTGGTTAATGCCCAGTCATAGCTGTTCGGTGTTCTCTAGACCTGACCACTCTCCATACTCTTTAACACTGCTTTCCCTTCATGGTTTCATGGAAGGAATGGAGTCATGGTTTCTTTACCTTCTCAGAATCCCAACCTCTCCATCCATTCTTCTCCCGTTACTGGTTCATGCGACCTTGAAGCAATGAGCTTGAGCACTCTGGGCCTCAGTTCAATAATGGTCATGATCCTGGTGACCCATATTAGAACCCGAGAGGGGACAGTGCCTTCTGTTCAGGGCTATCAGCATATAAGACACTCAAAGCTAGTGATGGGTCTCAGCAAACCCAGTGCAAGCATGAGTGCATGTGTATACGTTCCCATTTGAGTTACCATGGAGCTGAGTGCTTTGACTTTGAGAAGCATTTTTTTTTTAAATCAACACTATAATATTTGTGTCATGGTGAAGGAAAAACAGTCTCTGCCTTCATAGAGCTTACAGTCCTTCTGGACAGTCAGGGACATACCACATGGACAGACATGAAACAATTAGAGAGTGGTTGTTTGCCAAATGTGTAGGGCTTTCACAGAAGTTCTGAGAGGAAAGAAGTCCACATGAACTGAGGTAGTTAGGAATCTCCCTGCAGGGAGTGGACAGTAAAGGGCAATGTGGGGGTTTGAGTGGAGGCAGATCATTTCAAGCTGGAGGAGGGGCAGTGAGCTTGGCTTGGGGGTGATCGTGAGGAGATCCAAGTGACTTGGAGTGAGAGCAGTTGGGATCTGCTTGAAATATGTCATTTGTCATCTCGTAAGGGAGTATTGGCAAACATGGGTCACACAATAGACATGGGATGGGGTAGGTAAGCAGCAGGGACTTGGAGGTTTTTAAACAAGCAAGTGAGGAATATGGTGAAAGCAAGCCCCATGCATAGATAGAGGCTCTGCAGGCATCTAGTGGTGAGCCAGTGAGGGCCTGGCTCAGGCTGGTGACTGCAGGCCAGAAAGGAAGATACCTATGAGAGGTACCTCAAACGGAGACTCATTGGAGCCTCTTAACAACCTATAGGTGATGAGGATAGAAGAGGCATGAGGCTCTTCTATCAGACTCCTGCTTAACCTCCAAGAACTTTTTTTTTTTTTTTTTTTTTTTGTAGTACTGGTGTTTGAGTTCAGGGTCTATACCTTGAGCCACTCCACCAGCCCTTTTTTTGTGATGGGTTTTTTTCAAGATAGGGTCTTGTGAACTATTTGCCTGGGCTGACTGCGATCCTTCTGACCTCTGTCTCCTGAGTAGCTAGGATTATAGGTGTGAGCCACCAGCACCCAACAAACCCCAAGAACTTGATGGAAAAAGGAAGCTAGTTTAGGGTCAGCATATATGTTCTGACTTGAGAGTTAACAGGTCATAGATGTGAAGATGCCCAGGAAGCTTCTGGAAATGAGAGTCTAGGATCCCTTGGTGAAGGGATCTTGGGAGGAGCCCTCCCAGATTCTCCAGGCTGTGCCTAGAAGGTGTGGACTCACTATAGTTGAGTGTGCTCAGACAGGCCTCCAGAAGGAAGTAATGTTAGCTCTATCCTAGGGACAATGCTGCTGCTTCAGGCTTTTGTCATCTTTCTTTTTTTTCAGCACTGGGGTTTGAAATCTGGGCCTCATGCTTGCTAGGCAGGTACTGTACTACTCGAGCCATTCCTCCAGCTCCATGTTTTTGTTTGTTTGTCTATAAGGCAGGGTCTTGCTATGTAGCCCAGGCTGGCCTCAAACTCAAATCCCTCCTGCCTCATTCTCCTGAGTACTGGGATTGCAGGTATATGTGCCATGCCCATATTACTTATCTGTACATTTTGAAATCAAAGTAAAATCTAAATTAAAATTTTGAAATCTAATATGACCTTTGTCCTTGATCCTCCGAAGACCAACCAACTGATGAAAACAAAGTTCTCTGAGATTGGTAGTTCCCTCCCTACTCTTAGAGAAAAGGTGTGCTCCTGCCATAGCAGTCCCACACATCCATGCTCACAGTGCTTCTTGAGAAATATGGGACCCTTTGCTCCATTCCCTGGCTTGAATTATCCTGTAAAAGTGTTGGTGAGCTGGGGAGAGTGGTGTATGCCTGTGATCCCAGCACTCAGAGGCTTAGGCAAGAAGAGTGCAAGTTTGAGTCCAGCCTGGGCTACACAGTGACTCTGTCTCAAAACACACACACATAAAGAGCTGATGAAGCTGATGTCTAGCTGATCGGTAAACTGACGTCCCTTTGTGGGAGAGAAGCAGGAGGAGCCAAAAAGAAGAGTCCTCTGCCCGAACTGGCCTAAGTCCATCAGGCAGCCCAGTGAGCCTTCACTGAGATGGGGTCAGGGGAGGAGGCATGACAGGGGAGCAGCCTGTGTACAGTAAGAGTTTGCCATCAAAAGGCAACAAGTCTCATAGCTTGCCCTGGATGGTGACCCTTCCCTGCGGAATTCTCCCCTCTGACCTCCAGAACATTAATCCCGAGGCTGCCAAATGACCGTCATCCATCACGCCTCCTGACGAGCATCCCAGCCCCACCCTCCCCGCCATCCCCTGGTGCTCATTAGCAGCCCTTCCTGCCGGTGCCAGGTTTCCTAATCAAGTCCCTGGCTCCTCTCACTTCCCCTCGGGGCCAGTGGGCGGAAGCTGCTCTGACCCTCCCTCTTTTAAAGGCCAGGGAGGGGGTGGAGTGATTAGTGGAGAGAGAATTGTTGAGTGGCTTTTCATTCCCCTGGAGACCTGTGTGTCCAGCAGCTCCTTTGACGTGTCCAGGTACGTGGAAGGGAAAGAAACCATGTCTCCATCTTGCAGCAGGCAGTATGTGAAGGAGGACACTGCTAACAAACTGCAGTGATTGCTGCCAGCAAGAACAGGGAGCAGGCCAGGGTGTCAGGGAAAGTCTTCTCAGAGGAAGGGGTCACTGAATGGAGTCCAAAGGCTCCAGAGGAGTAAAAGTTGCCAAATTAGTGGGAAATAATCTGGGATTGCACTGCTAGCAAAAACCAAACAAAATACACTTTGAATTCATCTAGGCCAGACCTCTTACCTATGGATTGAAAAACAGATTCAGAGAGGCTAAGTGTCATGCCTAAGGCACACAGCCTGGGAGTTGTGCCTGTCCTGTTTATTTCAGAGAACTGACAGTCTGCTAGCTTCCAGGTTTGAGGAGTTTGAGTCAAACCACACTCCTAAGCAGAAGCATAAATGTTTTTTCTGACTTCACAAAAGATGAACGTATACAGATGCCTTCTTTCCCAGAGTGATGACCACACAGCCCTCTCTCTTGTTGGACAATCACAGGAACCCCCATCAACCGGATCCCCATCATGGCCAAGCAGATCCTGGACCTATACATGCTGTATAAACTGGTGACGGAGAAGGGGGGCTTGGTGGAGATCATCAACAAGAAGATCTGGAGGGAGATCACCAAAGGCCTGAACCTGCCCACGTCCATCACCAGCGCTGCCTTCACCCTCAGGACCCAGTGAGTGGTGGGCAGGGGGAAGGAAGCCGAGGTGGAGAACCGGGATGTTTTAGCCCAGAGGCGAGGAAGGAAGGAAGGAAGTTCCATTGTATAGTTAGCAAGAGGAATGGAGTTCCTGAAACAGGGGAGCCTTGGAGATGAACCTCGGAGACCAGGTAATGGTGGGTTCCAGCCTTGCTGTAGGTCTCCTGTGTGCTGGTACTTGACCATTCTGTTTCATTTCAACCTCACAGTTAATTCTGGGAAGCAGATAGTCCCCAGTTTTCCACAGTACAAAAACTAAGTCTCTGATGTTAAATAATGTGGCCAGTGCCATACCGGCCAGTAAGTGGAATAGCTGAGAATCAAACCTGTCTCTGAAATCTGCTCTTTCTAGGATATCACCTCCCAAACAGCACTACTGCCCAAGTGGTCCCTCTTGCCTGACAGTCACCTCCCAGTCAGGCCCTGTTGGACTGCTGACCTGTTTTGCCACCATTTGAGTTAATGACAGGGTGATAGAAGAAGTAAAACCCAGAGTACCCATGGAGAACAAGGGCCAGTGGGGATCTAGTCTTTTGAATTCTTTAAAAGTTGCTCTGTGAAGACTAGGGAATGAACAGCTGGGATGTCAGTCAGGTTGTGTGTCCTGGCCATTTTGAAAAGTTGCTGAAGGGTTTTATCTATTGGAAATATTCAGGAAGAAGTTGGGGACAGAGCTATAACCAGAATGGCAAGGTTCTTGAGAGAATTGCTTCTTGGAACAGATAGCAGACACCAGAGAAGGGTAGCACATCCAGGACCCATGCACAATGGAGAGCATTGCTCCTTCTGACCAGCCTAACGGAATGATGAGATCAAGGAGCCAGCATGACATTGCAAAACATGGGCCTCATTTATCTTAAGAGCACTAAAAAGGCACCAAAACAAACATGAAGCCATTAGCTGTTGGCAAAAATGTTACTTGGTTTCCTTAATGAACAGTGCTTCTAGTTTGAGCAGTGTTCAGGATTGAGCAGCAGTTAGAGGAGCCTAAAGGCAGTGTGTCCAGTGATCCCAGACTTTTCTCTTCTGCCAGGTGCAGAAAGCATCCACCCTAGCACTTAACCTGACAGGCTGTTTCTAGAGACTCTTCAATTTAACCTGGGCAGTCTGTGGTGCTGTGTTTTGGATTATTCTCCTTGCTCCCTTCCTTCCCTGCAGGTACATGAAGTATCTATATGCCTATGAGTGTGAGAAGAAAGCCTTGAGCTCCCCGGCTGAGCTCCAGGCAGCCATTGATGGCAACCGGCGGGAGGGCCGGCGGCCCAGCTACAGCTCCTCCCTCTTTGGCTACTCACCTGCTGCTGCTACTGCTGCTGCTGCCGGGGCCCCTGCCCTTCTCTCACCACCCAAGATCCGCTTCCCCATCCTTGGGCTTGGCTCCAGCAGTGGCTCCAGTGCCAGTAGCCCTCGGATGTCCCCAGCAACCACTCTCAGGAAAGGTGAGCAGGGCCCTTGGAAGAAGGAGAAAGCCCAGTTTCCCTGTGTCTCAGATGGGGTTTTTGGATGGAAGGGGTGACTATGGATTGGTCCAGCTCTGGTTCCTTTGCAGGTGATGGAGTCCCAGTGACAACAGTGTCGGTGCCAAATCGCCTGGCTGTGCCTGTGACTATGGCAGGCCAGCAGGCAGGTACCCGGACTGCCATGCTGGAGCAGCTACGGGAGCGGCTGGAGTCAGGAGAGCCTCCGGAAAAGAAGGTGTCAAGGCTGTCGGAGGAGGAGCAGCGCCTGGTGCAGCAGGCCTTCCAGCGCAACTTCTTCAGCATGGCGCGGCAGCTCCCCATGAAGATCAGGATCAACGGCAGGGGTGAGGGCCAGCTCGCAACTCCGAACTCCCAACCTTTTCTGACCTAGAAGGGGCCCCTCTACATGGCCTTCCTGGCCCCAGAAGGGCCTAGAGGCCAGAAGAAAGCCACGTGGGGTTTTTGTGACCACTGAGATCTCATTTTACTACCTGGAGGTTTACTAAGGGACTAGAAGTTGCCTTGGGCAGTGCCTTGTTCTCTAGCAAAAGGAAAAACAGTTATTCAAGAAGGAGGAGCCAAGGGTAGCTGGCTGTGCTTCTCCCCCCACCAGCCTTTTGATCTGTGTAAATTACAGGGCAGAGCTCACCTACACCCGAATACCTCACCGGATATAGGCCAGAAGCGGGGCACTATGGTCAGATCTGGGAGAGAGACACCCCATCATTCCTGAAACTCAGCAGGGAGCCAGAGAAATAGCAGGGTTGCCAGTGGCCCTCAGAAATAAAAAGTAGGAAGTACAGTGTGGCAGAATAATTGCCATCTTTTCCCTTCCTCTCCATTTTTTCTAGCGCCCCACTTCTCTTCCCAAACCACACACTCCATTTCCCTACTTCGCCCTTTCCCCTCACACAGCTTTTCTGGGTCATTGTTGCCATGACTCTTGCTCCAAGCAAACACAAATGAGTGTGTCCTGGAAAGGGAGTCAGGTGTGAAGGGAGCTGGTGCAGGTTCCCCCCTCTTTGCCCCACTTTCCCCAGGTGAAGAGCAGAAGAAAGTTCAGGGAACAGCCCTTCCAGGGCCAGGTGCTCTGACCCTACACAAAGCCAGAGGCTAATAGAAAAGGTAGTTCACCTGGGAGAATGCTTGGCTGTCCTTGTGGTGAGAGGACAAAATCTTAACCAGGCCAGTCTGAGACCCTCTGTGCCAGCTGCCCAGCTGGACTCCTCTTCTTAAGGCACTCACAGTTAAGGGGTGGAGGGGGCAGGGTGAGTCCTCGGAGTCGGGGCTGGGTCTTGTTCTTCTGATTTCCTGGGCCTGACATACAGTAGGTGCAGTTAGGGTTTGCTAAATCACATCGAAGTGTCTGTAAACAGCTGACAAACTGGGCCAGGTGGCTCACTGACTGTAGTCCCTTCTCTCTGAGAGCAGGTTGAGAAATAACTGCCTCTTGGAGGAAGCTGGCAAGCCTGGTCCTCCTGCTAGACTGAATGTCAAGAGGTGGTTACACAGATGCTCTCTGAGAGAGTGACTCCTCAGCCTCACACTGGAGAGGCCAGGCAGGGCCACAGAGAATGGCAGGCGGCTGCAGGAGGCATGACCAGGCCTGCTTTCTGTTGTCCTTTGCAGAAGACAGAGCAGAGGCCTCGGGTGCAGCACTGAACCTGAGCACAAGCAGCATTGGGAGCATTAACATGTCTGTGGACATTGACGGCACCACCTACACAGGTAGGCCCCTGGAGCGCTGGGGTAGACCCACACAGTGGCCACCAGCCTCATCGCAACTCCCTAGCTGGTCCTGCCTGCCCCCGCTAGGGCCCAAACACATCCCAGAGCTGTTTCCTTCCACATCATCTCAGTGCTCCAAAAGTAAAGGGATCCTTTTGGGACTGTAAATGTTTTGTTTTGTTTTGTTTTTTAGGTACTGAGATTTGAACTCAGGGCCTTGCACTTCCCAGACAAGTGTTCTACCATTTGAACACACCCTCAGCCCTTTTTATTTTAGGTGTTCCTCAAATAGCATCGTATGTTTGTGCCTGGGTGGCCTGGGCCAATATTCCTGTATATGCTGAGTAGCTAGGATGGCAGGCATGTGTCATCACATCCAGCTTTTTTATTGGTTGAGGTGAGGTCTCGCTAACTTTTTGCCGGGACTGACCTCAAAGCTTGATCCTCCCAGTCTCCACCTCCCAAGTAACTAGGATTACAGGCTTGAACCACCACGCCAGGCCTATATATTCTATTAACAGGATGATGGGTCCCCTTCCATATTGACAGAAAGCTTTCCTCTAGCCCTTTGGTCATTTAATGTGAAGATTTACAATCAGTGCCAACTCCATGCCCTTAAACACCCTGTTTATTATGAGTTAGGTTGGTGCCCACCACACACACAGAACTTCCTTCTCTGACTATAAAACACACTCATATTACAGTACATATCTATCGCTCCCTGTCTTTAAAATAGACCAAGGACTAAGACACCAAAAAAGTGCAGCAGAATCAGCCTCAATTCTTGTGGGCTGCCACCTGCCATCTTTTCAGTTGTTTCTCCCTAAACCTAATTTGCCGACCGTTCTGGGGATTGGGTGGGTTAGCACCTTTAATCAACAAGTCTTTTCGAAAGTGTTCAACTTGGAATTTATACAGATCCTTTCCCACTACCATCTTACTGGTTTGGGATGCCTTGGGAACAAGCCCAGCTCAGTCTTATTAAACACCACTTGCTGAGTAAGGGAGTCATCGCCTGTTTTATGAGGACACGGAGCGTGGCAGCAGCCAGGCAAGCATCCACACAGGCAGTGAAAAGCCCTGCAGCTATACTTCCCTTCCAAATGGGATGTCTCTCCAGGCCTGCTCCTGGCAGCCGAAATGCCCCACAGGAAGTCCTGCTGCTTGCAGCATCAGCCTGCTGGCCTCATGCCTGCCCTCATGCTCTGGACCTCTGCTGGGCCACCTGCCACAGGCATCAAGGTGGGGCCAAAGGAAGGGACAGGGCTCATAGAAGCAACCTGCAGAGAAGCAGCACTGCCAGGTCAGCTTGCCAGTACCTGCATCACCCTGCTGCATCTGCAGGCCACATTCCCAAAGCTGAGGGCCTTGTACCTTATACCTGTGGTGGTGCTATGGCTTGGGAGCTTTTGTCCTGGAGAGAACAGGAAGTAGGATTTCAGGGCTGGATCTTGGTATCAGCCAGTCATGCTGCACCTGCCTTAACCCTGTTCACTCCAGACTCTTTGTCAGTGGGGATGCTGGTGTCCAGGCCAGAAGCCTAGAGGTCGTCATTCTGAGAGTTCCCTGCCCATCGATGCCTTCCCAGAAACTCCTTCCTCACCCTGCTCCTCTCACCCCTAGAGAGCATCCTAAAACCTGGAGCTCATGGTGTCCCTCTTGGGCTCACAACTCTTAAGGACCTCCATAGTCCTGCCTGCCCACCTTGGCAGCCTCCAGGTTTGTGTCTCTCACTGCCATGTCTGTCCACCCTCTTCTTTACTTGGCCACTTTTACTTCTTTCAGCAGCCCAAGCACTCTTCCACTGGAGCTTTTCTTGAGCCACTCTCCCTGCCCCTCCAGGGCCCTCCTGTGTTTCTACAACACCATGGTTACACAGGTCTCAGCATTTATGACTTTCTAGTAGTTAAGGGTTATCCGTCCCCTCAGAACCTGTGAGACATGAAGGCAGAAGTGTCTGGGCATCCATCGGCATCTAGTGGAGAGTAGAGAGTGGGGCGCACGGGGTTAAGCAAGCAGTCAGGCCCCGCTGAAATGACCTGCAGCCCACACTGCTTCTCTCCCCACTCAGGTGTGCTGTTTGCCCAGAAACCCATGGTCCACCTCATCACAGGTTCTGCTCCCCAAAGCATTGGCAGCAGCGCCAGCAGCAGCAGCAGCAGCTCTCACTGCTCACCGAGTCCTACCTCATCCCGGGGCACTCCCAGCGCAGAGCCCTCCACCAGCTGGTCCCTCTGATGGGCAGTACCCAGCACCTACTCCCTCCTTTCCTGCAGAGAGTAAAGGGAGGTGATGCACCGAAGTTACCTCATCTCACGGAGCCATGTCAATGACCGTCTGGCCAGATGTTTGGAGTTTGGACGTGTCCGTCTGGCCAGGCTCCATTCAGGTCCTGCTGTACTCTAGGGGCAGGGAGAGGCTGGAGGGGCAGGGCAGAGCAGCGTTGTCCAATCAGGGATTGCCCTGGAAAACTGGGCAGGGGTCTGGGTGTCCAACTTCCTCCCATCCCAGGGCAGTGAATTGACAATCTGTAAGCCGACACAGGGCTGGAGGCCCTCCATTTCCTTTCCCTTTAATTTATTTCCCTTCTCCACCTTCTGCCATCACCCCATGATCACCAGTCTCTCTGCCCAGTCCCCCAGTTTTCAAATCCAAAGTGGGGCTGCTAGGAGCTGAGAGTGTTTTCATGGCTTCACATTGCTGAGTGTGGGAGGAAACCCGCCCAGCCCTTCTTGCCTGCTGTTTGATTCCTGGGGCATGAGTCCCTCAAATCCACATCTTGAATCATCCTCAAAGTTCTAGGAAACAGCACTCGAGGGCAGGCTTCTGGTCCAAGGCCTCCGAGCTTCTGAGAGAGAGGCAAGCACATAGGCTGCCTGGGCCCTGGCACCTGCCTTGCAGGACCCTCTTCTGACTCCCCCCCAAACCTCAGGCTCCCCATTTCATTTTGCCCTTGTTGGCCAGCTCTCCCAAGACAGCCACTTGTCCCTGGCCCCTGTCACTGTCTCTTGGGGCCATCTAAGCCCCACCAGCCCCTGACCTGCTGATGTCAGGCTCACTGAAATACCTCAGATTTGTAATTGTTGATGTTTGAGTCTTCAGGAAATATTTGCATCTCTGAAATCTTTTTTATATGTGTTTTGCTGACTTTTGTTTTTTTGTTTTAAAATCTTTATTGTTGCTGTTGTAGCACCAAAGAAATAAGAACAGATCGCGGTTCATAGCTAGCCCCTCCAGCCTGCCCAGGCCCCAGCCAGCAGGTGGGGCGACTCAGGGATCACCATGGTGGGAGGGCGGGATGGAGAGACCCCTGCTTGCCGGTGGGTCCTGAAACCAACACCATTTCTGCTGTCCCTGCCCCAGTTGACAGGGTAGGGCAGGAAGCTCCTCTAGGTCAGCATTCCCACCTCAGGACACTGGGCCCTAGGTTCTGCACTGTTGGGAGGTTGGGCTACCTGGGGACAAGGAGATGCTGAGAGCTCTGACTCTCTTGGCCCTGGAGTTGGAGCAGGCCACTCCAATGTGGCAGAGAGAGGATTGCACAAGACTCGCTTCTCAACCAAGTGTGCTCTGCACCGTTTTATAGGACAGCACCTGCAGTGACTCCACAGATTGTGGTGGTGTCCCCAGCATGACTCATTCAATCCTGTCTAGGACAAGAAAGGGAAACCAAAAGCTTGCACACAGACATACCTCAGCCTGGTAAGCAGCAGCTCTGCTGACTCTGCCTGCCTTCCCTGCCCCGGCCTCCACCAGCACGTGAGCATGCATACGCACACGTTCTCACACACATAGCCTGTCCATGGGGTTGACTCTCTTCTGGCCTTGGAAGCCTTACCCACCAGGCAGGCAAGTGCAGGGTGTGGATGGAGAAGGGCATCTGGAATCTGGTGCCAGGGAGGAGCCCAGGTGGCTGGCTCTGGGCCTGCTTGAGTGTCTCACACATTTGGCCAGTGTCTTTCTCAGGGTTTGGTCAAGAAAGGATGGGCTTTTCCCACCCAGAGGATGCAGAAACAGTATACTGGGTCTTTCTGGTCAATGGTCCTCCCCCTTTCTCCTGGCAGCTTGCTGATCTCTCCCTCTGAATGCCCCTCACTGCCCTCAAGGCCAGAAGCAGTCTCAGCCAGAAAGCAGTGGCGCTATGGTCCTGGCCTAACCAGAGCTTTCCCTGTAGGTGCAGACCATGTGATGGGCAGTTGACCAGGGCACCTCTGTCCCCTCTCCTCTTTCCATTTTGTATGTATTCTAACCAAGAAAAATGTGATAGCACATGGTAGCCTAGGCAGTGAATAAATACCTCAGATGTTCTCTTGCAGCAAGTGTCTTATGTGTTGTGGTTATTTTCTATCGTACATGTTCTCGAATGTTTGTATTTCAATAAACCTCTACCTCTTCACACAAGCAGGTCTCCCGGTTGCTTTGAGTGACTCTTCCACTGGGTAAGGTCCTTCAGAGTAAAAGGGACTGCATGAGCTACTCCTGTGGACACTTTCTTCTCCTGAACCTTCTCCCCTTCACTGCTTGCCCATCCTCCCCAAAGTGCTCACCCTCTGCTTACCTGCTGTGTTGGCATGGTTCTCTGGCATTGCCTGGTCACCAAAACTGTCTCCATGGGTCATATTAATGTCCTGCAGGCACAGGACCAGAGCATTGGTCGCTGTATTTAGCAAGCCTATGCTGCACTCCCACTGGGGCAGACGCTAGGGGAGGAAACACGCCACCTAGACAAAGACCTTTCCTAGGACATGGCATAACCAGGACTCTACACCCAGCGTGCCCACCCCCCACCCCACCCCGGAGGTGGTAACATAGAAGCTAGAAGAGCCAGCTGGAGGCAGAAAGGAAGAGCCTTCCCAGCAGAGGGATTGGTCCATGTGGAAATGCTGTGGCATCAGAAGACCTGATGTTGGCGAACTCTGTCCAGCACCTGGAGGAGGTGCATTCGGCCAGGACAGACCCCAAATTAAGAGATTTGGGTGTCATCCCCTGCACATTAGGAATGGGTTTTAACGCAGACAGGCTTTTTTAGAAGGGGGACCTGGAGCCAGGTGCTGTGGTGGGTGTGCACCCCCAGGAACACTGCCAGTGGATCTCTGACCAGACCTAGTACGCTCAGCTGTTCTCTGCCAGGCTGCCACTCCTGTGACATGGCCAGAGGAAGTGTGCAGGACTGAGGCGTGCATGGGCTGGTCAATGCCTCCTCCCTCCAGGGCAACAGGTACTGTGCCTGTGTCTGCAGCCCTCTGAGATAGACTACGAGAGACTCCTTTCCCTGCCGTGTAGAGGGGTTAGAAATGAGTGTGGCATTGGAACAGTCTTGAACCACTTCTCACTGATCTTTAAAATCTTCTGAAAGTCAGGATGATTGACACTTTGGTACATTAGCCACTGGTCAGCTGTCATGGCTATCACATGAAGATTAAGTGGGCCTGCCTTAGAGCTGAGAGGTGAAGAGCAGCACCAGATCTAGAGGTTGTGACAGCACAGGGTGGGGGAGAAATGACAGCTGAGCCAGGTTACTGATCGGGACACAGGATCTTAGGAGAACACTGAAGTTCCCTTCAATTCAAAGTACCAATGGAGATGGTAAAAGAGAATATGGTGACCTTGAGAAAAGGGAAAACTCAACTAGACCCCTTCAAAAATTCATCAGACGATATCATGAAGTAAAATGACTTAACAGAAAAGATAGTCTGCAACTCATGACTAACAAAGCAGTAACCGGAGGTATCTTTGAATAATTTTGAAGACAAAAAGCAAAAAGAAGGGCTGGGGAAAGCAGACAGAGTCCCAAAGGAGTGTTTTGCAAAAGAGTGTGTGGCCTCATTAGTAATCCAGGAAAATGCACAAGAAACCATGCATATGGACAGACACGAACTTTAAAGTCATCCAGCAAGTACCAAGGCCTGGTAAGAAGGGGGAGCAGTGGGAACTCCCTGCTGCAGGAGTGGGAATTGCTCAGAGCAATTTGGAAACCAGTTGGCTGTTATCTAGTAAAGGTGAAATTTGCTCCTGGGTTCATGCCTTGGAGATGGACTGGAAGGAGTATGCAGCGCTGACAGCAGTAACCACCAATCATTGAACCTGGTGTGGGCCAGGGGCTGATTCCAGGCCTTTTCATGAATTCTGTCATTTCACCTTGTACCTATTTATAAGGTGGGACATCTTACAGATGAGGAGACAGGCTCAGAGAGGTTGAGCAACTGGCCTAGGCCTCCTCAGCTTAGTGAGCAGAGGAGCCAGGAGTCTGTGCCATGACCACAGTGCACATTTAGTACAGGCTATGAGGCCGTCATTGCTCATTTTATAGATGAAGGAATTCATGAACAGAAATAGGCTTGAGGTCATATACCTAGTGAACTGTGGGACTGGAATTGGGCTCTGAAGCAGCCTCCCTTGAGAAGGAGAAAAGGCTGGCCAGAGAGAAGCAGAAGGTTTTTGTCACCAGGTCTCTGCTATGTCATGTACCACCACCCAGCCAGGAGTCACCAGGTGGCCCTTAGCAGCTTCAAGGAAAGACTCCCCAGCTGCCTGGCAGACGCAGATCACCCCTCCTCTCCTCTTCCCAGGCTGTCTGGGATTGGGCCACGTGCCCTCCACAGAGCCAATGGTAGGTGAAGGGGTGGGGGATGCTTCAAAACGCCTTAGCCCAATTCCCCAGTGCAGAAAGGAAAAGACCCCCAGATGGGCAGCAGCCCACGGGGAAGGAGGGTCAAAGATTTCAGGAAGTGGTACCCAAGGGACTTAGGAAAGAGAAGGTTTGAAATCACCACTGAAGGAAGGGGAGAAGGAGCCAAGCAGGGGCAGTCAGACGAGGAAGGGCAGGTTGGCTGCTGAGCTTGGGGACTGAGGCACAAAACCAGGCAGCTGCTAGGATACAGGGATAAACATGAAAGCCAAAGGGAGCCAGGGATGGTGGGGCGTGCCTATAGTCCCAGCTACTCAGAAGGCTGAGGCTGGAGGATTATTTGAGCCCTGGAGCTCTAGACCAGCCTGGGCAACATAAGGAGACCCTGAGTCAAAAAAACAGGTAGACGGGGGCCTCTGTGTGTCAGGGGAGACAGAGACGGAAGCTGGAGCTCCTGCAGGGCAGGTGATTGAGGGAGCAGGAAGAGTCTGGGTGTGAGGTGGGACCATCTGGGAGCAGCATGGGAGGATCTGTACCTGTAGTGGTCTTTGTTAGCAAGTAACCAAAACCACTCTGTCAGTGGTCACTTGAGAGGAGGGGGTTTATTCTTGGGCCCCAGGGTGTGTGGAGGAGCCCAGGGCAGCTGGCTCACACTGGCCTCTGGAAGGGCCTGCAACTGGGAAGCTTTGCCCACAGAAGGTGTTCCTCTCCTTCTGAAGACCACCCCAAAGGTGGACCATGCAGGAGACCTCCTGGGATGAACCAAACTCTCTCCATCCCAGGTCCGTTTTCTGGGGAATGTCTACTTCATTTGCTCTGGACTGAAATGCAGCTACTTCCACATGATAAAAAACAGAGCAGCCCACTGTTTCCAAGTCTGATGTGTCTGCTCTCGAGGCTGGAGGGACTTCTCCACATCCAGCGATCCAGAAAGGGGCCCAGCGGTTCAGTTCATCTCAGCACACAGCCCTGAAGCAGTCACAGGAGCTGGGGTAGTCTGCAAGCTCAGCGAAGAAGCCTGCTGGCCTCCTCTGAGGCCTCAGGAGTGGATAGAGGGAGGCCTCTGGGAACACAGCCTGGCTCACAGAGCTCGTGGGAAGGAAGCATATGGCAGGGTGGGAAGGGGAGTTCAGGAAAAGAATGGCCAGGTGACTTGCCCTACCCAAGACTCTTGAGGATGGTCACACTTGCTATCAAGCTCAGAACAGGCAGTGGGACATGAGAAACCACCTTGCTGGAACAGGTTAGATGATCAGGTAAACAATCAGGGCCTCAGTCTCTGTTTGGCTATTTGACCTACGGCAAATTGCCACCCTTCTCTAGTCAGGCTTCCTGTCTGTGAAATGGGGATTGTACTGTGATCAGAAGCACATGTGAATGAGAACTCACTTTGAAATGTCGAGGACCAGGCACCTTTAATACTAGCTACTTGAGAGACTAAGATGAGGAGGATCGAAGTTTGAGGGCAGCCTGGGCAAATAGTTCTCAAGACCCCATCTCCACTGGCGGAGTGGCTCAAAGTGTAAAGCATTTGCCTAGCCAACATGAAGCCCTTAGTTCAAACCCCAATAATGCCCAAAAAAAGAAGCAAGTCAAGACCCCATCTCCAAAATAATCAGAGCAAAATGGACTGGAAGTACAGTTCAAGTGGTAGAGTGCCTGCTTTGTAACCCCTAAGTTCAAGCCCCACTCCCACCAAAAAAAAAAAAAAAAGTGTTTATAGTTCAGCACCCAAGGCCTTCACCAGAAAGATGGGATGCTCGTTGACCCTCTGGTGGCACCTGGCACATGAAACTCTACAAGGACCCTGGCCACTCCCTACCCAGCTCTACTATCCACAGGGTCCCCTAGGAAATCAGCAGGTGGGTCTCATCCACCAAATCAGGAATCTTAACAACTGTATCAACTCTACGGCAGACAGGAATCCTTGCCCATCTAGGGGCCACTGAGCCCTTTCCATTCAACCCTGTGCCAGGACTGCCCACTCCCTGGGATGGGCAAGGGACTGACCGCTGTTTCTCAAGTTGCAAAGCAAGGCTGTGAATTTGTCCCCAGTGATCTGGGTCACAGACTCACACTGCCTGGGCACATCTTGCTCCCAGCTGTGCTCAGGTGTTCCTCTCCTGGGATTCAGAGCTGGAGCTGGGACCTGAAGCAGTTGAGCAGAGGCTACTCGGAGGACTGAGAGATACGCTGGTGCCCAGGCATGAGCAGCCCCGGCTCTGTCTGGCGGGGAGACCAGCTAAGAAGTCCGCTGAGAATCTGCAGAGGCCCTGCTGGAAGGACCCTTTGAGCTTTCTGTTTCTCCCTCCAACTTGCTTGCAGGGAGACCAAGGCACAGAGAAGACCTAGGTCCGAGTCCCACAGGGAGGCTAGGTCACGTCTCCCACCCCTTGAGCGGGGCCCCAGATGCTACCTTCAGGAGCTTTAAGGTTGCCAGAGGCTCCTGTCCCCTCAGCACAGGAGCCCTTGAAGTTAGGAGCTGCCGAGGCCCCTCCCTGCTCTTTGTGGTCACAGTTGGCCTGAGGATCAAAACTCAGAGTCTCCCAGGTCCCTTTGGAGGCTCTAATCCCTTTCCTCAGGTCCCCCAAGAGTAGCTGAGGCAAAGAACAGGAGCCCCACCCGAGGAACTCCACCACACAGGGTCTCAAAGATGAGGACTTCAGTCCAGGTGAGTGTGTCCACGCACTACAGCCAGCAGAGCGGGCGTGCCATGTTGGCCATTCCTGGTGGCTGCTCGTTACTTCGTGCTGTTTCTCCGAT